TCACCGCGACGCGACCATTTCGTACCTAATGCACCACACCCCACCTATGCACCACGTCCTGTAGAAGTGCTGTTAACAGGGCTCATAAATTTTTTATTTCTCGCTATTTGAAGCTGTCGGAATGGCCCTGGGTAACGACCGACCCGCTTACAACCTTCTCATCCCTTCCCTAGATAGGGAATGGTAGGGTTGAAGTCTCCTCGGCCTCCGTTTCTAGTTGTTTCCTTTGTGTTTGTTCCCTTTTCTTCCCTAAAAAGAACGAAAGAAATTGTTTCCTTCCCTAAAAAGCATCTTAGACCGGATAAACATCTCTGTGGCGGAGAAAAGCTGAGTTGCACTCGATGGGTTCCGATTACTCGTGTTTCGGTTCTCGAACATACTTATGGAACTTGTCATATGCAAGATTTCCGTGAGTTCCTTCTCTACAGTAATCCTACCGTAATTTCAGAACTTGCTTCCGAAGTACACAGTACTGAGCGTGTACCGCAAAACCTACACGAGGAGGAGAGTGCCACAGCACGTGAGCACACTGTACGAGGACTAAAAGATCAGGTTAGGCTTCGCTCCAATCCTATTTCCGATTTCCGGTTGTTTCGGCCATGAAATGAGGCCATTAGGAAGTTCTTTGATAGCATTGTGCTTTTATGGCTCCATATGAGGTCAATTAGGAAGGAAAGGATCGGTACTGCTTTGATTTCCTAATTCGGCCAGATTACCATAAAACTTTCTATGACCAGTCTCTCCACCAGTGGCAAGTCCATAGGGGTTTTTGAAAGAATTTTGATTGCTCTAGTTCTCTTCGCTTTATGATGATCACCTCATTTCAGATAGTCGTTTCCGAGCTCACCGAAGCGGTACCTGCCAAGGAAATCGTAATCGACAAGGACGGAGCCGAGGATATTGGAAAGCTTGTTGAGCAAAAATCAAACGAAATTCTCAAGAAAGTCGAGAACGTTTCCGCCGAAGTAGCCAAGGATCTGAAGGATTTTGCGAAGGACACAAAAGCCTCCGCGGAGGCGAGCATCATGCCAAAAGTCGAAACAATTAGTGCCAAGGTCACAGAAGGCCTTGAAAAAGCTTTCGATAGCGTCGATGAGGTATTGAAGAAGACCGACGAGGCCACGACAGAGGCGGCAGAACTTGCCTCACGACTAGGCTCAGCTATTACTGGCGCTATAGCGGAGACGACTGCCACGACCCCGTCCCCAACGAAGGAATCGGCTACCCAATCACCAGCTGTGGGATCACCCATCGAACCACCCCATCAGCAGATTATCGTTGGTGAAACCACAGCAACAAAAACTTAACTGTGCTATAACTATACTATGATTTGATAATCGCATTGAAGTATGAGATTGACGTGATCCCATTCCGCCCATTCAATATAGCTGCAATTGGTGTTAGTGTAAATATACTGCACACTTTAGCGTCTTTTTCGAGTATTGATTATTGATTATTTGTCAAGATAATGTTGCCATGATCACAGATCATTTTTTGACAATGATAAAGCTGTTAAATTGGGATTTACCTTACGTGACGAAGCACTCAAACATCTTCATCGAGGTAGGTGTAGTGCAAGTGCGGCCGCGTGCGGTTGCGTCACGTGCAAGAAGAACTTTTTATAAAGCGGTAGTCATACCCCATTTTCCAGCGAGAATAAATCGGTTGGATCTTTTTCGGGAATAAAACGCCTTGACATGAGTGAGAAGAGCTGAACAAGTGCTGCAGCGAGCAGTTGCGTTGCGGCCTGGGCTAGTATTTCAGAGAAGGCATGAAAAGTGGCCAGTCAGCCTTGTAAGCTGAATGGCACACGATTTCTCATAAATTTTATGGATTCTGTATTCAATGAGCTCTGTGCAGGGTTATCGTTAACACCTAGAATGGTCGTAGTCGGAAACTTTGAAAGAGCTTGCTTCAAAAAACGGTTTCAAGGCATTTTTTGGGCCTAGACGAGTATTTTAATTTCTTTATTGCTTGGTGACTTACTGAAGATTGCCTAGCAGTCATGTGAAGAGAAGACGCATAGTAACTGTGAACAACAGGGGTTTTTTCGTTATTGAATATAGTAGGCACAATGTGAGGGCAACGAGCCCAAGTAGGTCCCCTCCTTTCCCTTGTCTACTGATCACCTGGCAAATGCGGACTCTACAGGAAGGTTTGTGGTATCTGATAATTAACTCCTACTCTTAACATCCATCCCAAGCGAACTCCAATCCGCTCTGAGCGTATGTGGGAAATCGGCTTTTCCTCCTGCATTGATCACCGAAGATCACTCCCGCCGTCACACCTACAACGTCTTGTGAAAGAGCCTGGTTTCATAGGTTTGAGGATAAGTTTACTGGTAACTGGTTCGTGTTCCAAGCTATACTAGCTTTCAATCTCATTTTGCCCAGATACCCTCCCCGCTGAACTCCTTTGGCGATTGGAAGCCTCCTGGATCGCGCTTGCATCTGATCTGATGGTTGATTTGATCTACCATCACATGCCTAGTTTATCATCGATCGAGTCGCTGGGACGAATAGCAGAACGGCCTCTTTCTTCTTTTCTTTTTTTCATTCGCTTTTTCTCCTTTTCCTCAATCGTACTCCTTTTCCTTTTCATCTCGAGTACCTCTCCTTCCTCTTTGAATAAGTTGTTGATCGGGAATCCCTGATTAATTCCTCCATCTGGGAAGAATCGGAATCGATCGATTCCGTCTTTCCAATTCCCAACTTTTCGGATCCATCAGAAGTTAACTTGGGTAATCACGAGCTTAATCGGCACCAATGTCGTCATAACCACCTCACGTCTCCTTCATCACGTATTTTCCCATTCCTTGCAACCGGAAATGACCTTGGGGGGCAACTTTTTGGAATGATCACTTTTTCATCCAAGTCTCTGCTGAATTTTTCAATATCTTTGTTGATTTTCGTTAATTCGTACGATTCGGTTCAATTTCAAGGTTTATGTGACCCATATAGGGCAGTTTTTCCAACCGTAATACGGGATAATTGTGGTTTTTCTACCGAACACCGAACATCACTATCTATTTTTGGAAGGTTGTACTTTCCTATGCACAGGGGGCTTCATCACTGGTGCCCTTAGACCGGGTGCCCTGGTGCCCTGGTTTTACGGCTTTCTCCAGATATGACTGATATACCCTAGTAGTCTTTGCTATGCCGGTTACCGAAATGCCCAGGTTCCAAATGTATACGTTCCAAAACCTCAGATATATTGAAGAGCTGGCACTGGCGTAGGAATAAATTCAGCGTCCAACAGTGGC